TTCGCGATATAGAGACAGAGAATAAGAGAGAGTGAAGGAGAGGGGAATGGTCCATGATGGCCAGACATCGATTTATTCATCGATACGTGCACGTCTTCTCGAGGCAACGATTACTCTTCCATCGCGCGAGACGCCATGTGCCTACTATACGCGTCGGCAAGGAAGTGTTGATCCCATAACAAACTCAATCCCAGAGGCGTGTGTAAAAGCTTCATTTAGCAAGAGTTTTGCAGGCAGGCAGGCAAAGAGGCAACTTGGCAGGCAGGTAGGCAGGAAGGTTGATGGGTAGGTTCGCCTTGTAGGTACATATACACACATTGTACACGTATGTCTGTATATACACCACATAGACCATCCAGGTGATCAGATTTGATGAACCGATCGTTCTTGGGTTATAATTACCATCAGCTAAACCAGTCCTCTTCTAAACTGGGCAAGTCTTTATATGAAGTTCCTTTTCTCTTCTCTTTGACTTTCTTCCTCTATGGACCAGCAGCTTCCCCTCCACTTCTCTTTCCCTTTTGCTCTCGCAACTCGCCTTTCTCATAATCTCTTTCTCCGTCTGTCTGTCCATCCGTCCCTCTTTCTCCTCAGCCGTCCTCTTTTTATCGGTCGCCTCGTACACGAGGGAAACATGGCCGCATGCCTACTGACATGGGCCAAACAATGGCGGATACAAGGGCCAACCCGTGTTGCGAGCTCGTGAAATAGAACCCAGCAGGATCCGTTTCTCATATATACATATACACTAATTCTCGAACAGATGATGGGAACATATCTCTGAAGTTCTCTCCTATAGCATTATAGTGTGTTTATATAAACTTCTCCTCCCCTTTCTCGGAAGAAATACCTCTCCAAATGTTGGAAATAATGTTTCTATCTGCTGCTATATTGGTGAATGTGAATTTAATAAATATTTGCGTCTGATTTATTCTATAGAAAAGCATGTGGAATGTGGTGGTATTCTTTTAGGAGGACAATTTTTTTCATCGTTTTTTTTTTTTTTTTTTTTGCTCTTGCTGATGATGATAGAGGAAATTATTGTCATTATCTTAATGTATGCTAATGATTTATACAAATAGGTTTAATATCATTTTTACTGCTAATCATGTTCAAGATCTTGAGAATGAGATATAGCGAGAGAGAGACATTTCTAGAGATTTATCTTTTGCAGACGGCAAAATTTTAAAATGTTAATTATCCATAATCTGAATTTATATTAAGAAATTGAAAATGTTCCGAGACGTGAAGAAATGTTTGGGGTTTCTTTATATCCTTTTCTCTTCTTGATGAAGTTGTTACTTTGGCTTTGACAATTTGGCTAATTGGCTTTAACAATTGGTTACGATTTAAAATTTGGAGGGAAACTTTTTTAAAATCTAAACCATCTTTCTAGAAACAAAAAGATGTACAAACTTGTAAAAGTTGTAACATATTTGACTCACCATTTACTTTTTGAAAAAGGACAACATTCTTGAAAATCTTAACCATCTTTCAAGAGAATGGTACAAACTTTTAATTGTGGTAACTTACTGTAAGTTGAAGATATAAATTGTACACCTTTCGTAAAGATATGCATATATCCTTCGATGCGAAGAGTAAGACAGTAAATAATCAAGAAAAAGCGTTCCAAACAAATGTATATCATTTTTGAAGTAACAGACATAAGAACTTCCTCACTTCATAATATTCGCCACTTCCTGTTATAAATACTTTTTTATACAAGTGTGTTGAACGAGGTTAACAAACTGCAAACATTTTTATCTTTGTCATAAACAAGCTACCTCATTACGCAATCGTAAAATAATAATATTGTAATTAGAATAGATTAGATGATGGCGAGGTCAGGTGTGAAGAGCGCGCGATGGTGAAACAAACCTAACGAGATAATGCCAATGTACTGCACATGTTATATGTGCACTTTCATATTATATTTTCATGATAAGATCGTCACCGACACTCGTCACTGTCACGCAAGTAGACAAATGCCTCACTGCCGCAATTTAGATTTGAATCTCTCATTTATATATATAAGTACTCTTAGTTACTCGCGAACTACTTCAATTTCATTTACACGCCCAACTTCTGTGTGTGCTCGAAAATGTATTACGCTGAATTATTGCTAATCCTTTCTGTTAATTAATTCCTTTTTTGGCCTCTCGAGTTCTTTTTATGTGGAGACGAATTTCTTGTTCTTTGCATCATCTTATTATCATGATGATTATCTGCTATTTTACTTGTCGGAGTATTAAAAAAATATAATGAAGTATTATAAAAGGAATAGTCTTTATTGATATTTTTTGCTATTAGTTGGTAGTTATATCAATGTGGGTCCACTTGGGTATCAATTCGTTCCAATTTGATAGGAAAAATCAGTTCGATCAAAAGTACCAATTTAACATCACAATTTTATCTAATTTTGCATCAATTTGATCCAGTTCGATATCAATTTATCACCCGGAGAAAACATTACTTCGAAAAACTACCAAAAAGAATAAATAGAGTAGAATTTTGAACCAAGAGTACCGAACCAAAATGATGTTTTTGTTAAAGATGAAACATTTTTTTAATATACACATTTTTCTATACATATTATATATTTCCTATTTATTATATTATGGTTACGAGAATCCTGATTGCCGAGATGAAATTGATGCCGTGTGGAGAGAAACACACCATCTGTAGAGAGCAGTTCATTGAAAAGAAAAAAAATCTCCGAAGAAAGCAAAGAAACTCACGTGGTGTAAATGGAAACAGTCAATTAGTTTGAAGAAGTTTCGACTGCGGTAGTCTCATCTCATCGCAGTAAATAAATGACTGGAAATGGAGAGAAACTACGCGCGGAGGGTGAGATTGAAGTAGGTGGTTATATACGAAGAGCTTGCTTGATCGATCGTGAAGAGCACCTATCATAATCGATAATATCCTGCTAGCATAAGCGATCTCCAATGGCTGCTGCTCGTTATCCATTTCTCTTTTATGGTCGACAAGTGTGCACCGTCATCGCCTCATCATTTGCGAGTTCTCACTCTCCTATCTCTCTCTATATATATAATATATATATATATATAAACACACTTCTTGGTCCTTTTCTTTTTCCACCTATATCCTCCATCTTTTTTCCTCTCACGCCCTTTATCTGCTACATCTATTCTTGTAATATGTATACTTTTTTCTTATATCATATATATACCTATTACCAGCTCCACCCACATCTACTCGTCGCTTCTTATTTTTCCATGGAAAATGGATGGGTTCGAACTTGAAACCACTTCACACTGTGTTTGTGTTATTTATAATCCTATTCAATTATCCGTTTATCATTATTACATCACGCTGGATCAGATTTCCGACAAGAAAAATGTTTCGAATAATTCAGTGTATTTTCTTTCAAACATGCAACTACTGGACAAAAAAATTATTTTCTAGTTACGTAACAATTTTATTTGGTATTATATTTATCTTCACAGTTTTTCTAAGGATATAAAATTGAGAGAAAAAACATACCTATATCAAAACATTGATTCGCAACAAATGGATTTCAAATATGTGAAAATTCTCGAAGAACTTTTTCAGAAATTATTAAAAATAGTTGATTTAAAGAAGAATTTTAATTAAAAAATTCTAGAAAATGATAATTGAATTCAAATAATGGAATTAATTTTGAAAAAGTTACAGGTAAAATAAATAAAACGTTACTTCGTAACACTTTTGATTCGTTTTTAGTCTCAATTTCATATCCTTAGAAAAACTGTGGCATATATTATATTGCTTAGAGGCAATAGTTATTTTAAAGAACCAAAAACAGTTATAAACAACTTTTTTTCTAGCTCAGCATTTTTCTTTCAGCAAATAACATTTAAATGCATAAAAGTGAAACAATATTATTCCGCTTAGTACAACTTCTTCTTTTCTTTTTATCTCGTCACCCGTATATAAATATTCGGTCGTATTTGTATTCAGGAAAGAATGTAATATAAAATTTTATTGCACTTGTAACAGAAATACTTTATTTACGACTGTGTGTATATAACAGACACTGCACGCGGGCTTTTTACAAATAAATATGTTTGAGAAAATAAACGATTAAAAGACAAACAAGAAAAAAAGAAGAAAAAATTATAAATTTTAATGGTCCCGTCCAATCATAAACTGAAACCAAACCAAACTCTTTATTTTGTTGTATATACTTTTATATTTATATAATAACATGAAAATGTTAACATTGATTTGGGTTAAAAATTCTTTTTCATCGCTAAACGAGGTTCTGCAATGTTAAACATTATCGCACCAGTTTGTTAATGATTTTTTGCATCAAGGATTATTATTATATTATGCACTGTGTACACACATATATATTGCTACTTGAGTTCTTAATGGTCATGTGCTCACTGACTCGAGACCATTAAAAAAAAGAAAAAACTCGGACAGTTTATTCCACAGTAGTCATAAACAATCATTTCCTGTGGCAAAAGACTTGAAGTATAGTAGTCTTCAGATAAAAGAACAACAGAAAAAAAAACCCACATCGTCTCGTCAACGCGCGTACACGAACCGATAATAAAGTTAAATTTCTTTTCACAACTGAAATTCTTTCACTTGACGTTTGAAGGTAAAAGAGATATTTCAATGAGGAGAATGCGAAAATTGTGCGAGAAAGTCGGACATCTTGTTGACTTTTATTATCATCGGGTACATTTATATATTTGTGCGCTGTGTGTATGTGCGTCATTATGAACAGGTACGTAGACGTACGATTGAAAAAAAGAGGAGGAAGAAGAAGAAGAATAAAAAAGAGGGTTGAAAGTTACTTGTGAGGACTTTCGGTGGGGAGAGAGAGAAAAATAGAAATTAAGGGGCAATGAGTTATCGCGGTTGCGTGAGAGAGGCAAGTCGGAGATAAATCAAACCACAGCTCTAACCGCAGCGCCACCCCAACTTTTGATCACGAACATAAAAACCCCCGTGGCAAATCTTCATTGGATTAATAGAACACGAACACTCAATGATTGGTCCAAGTACCGCTTGCATCATTTCCTTCATCTTTTTTCTTCCATTGCATCCTCCATCAGCTTCCATCTTTCCTCATATTTCTGTACTGGTTCATATCTTTCAATTTTTCCCATAAGTCTCAATTTTTACATTTTCTTTCTCGAAAAAAGAGGAAAATTTTTCTCAAAAGAAAAAGAAATTCAAAAATTTTTTATAGTGTATAGATTAAAATTTGGTCCAGATCTTCGGAAATATTTTGTTTTTCCTTGACATTTCCCTGATTTCCAGACAAAATTTTCACTTTTTCTCTGACCCTGAAGAACATCAATAACTTCTTTTTTAAATAAATATTTCATCATTATTATTTTTCTATAGGAATTAAGTTTCTCAAATTCAATAACTTATGAGAATATTTATTATAAAACATGACGAAATCGAGCACTGCGAGTCTTCGACTCGGATCGATTATTTCCTGATATTTTAAAATAAATTTAATACGCCAGAGTGATAAAATCATTATTTCTTATCATAAGAATATTGTAACTATAAATTCTAATTTTCAAAGATTTTAATTTTAACCCTTTTAAAAATTCAATTATTTCTAAAAATTCACGCTGTATATAATGCTTTTAATATTCAATTACAATTTAAAATTTTAAGCGAAATTCATTTTTTAATCAATTTTCATTAGATAATTTCCCGAGAATTCAATTATTTAAAGATAAAAATAAATATTTTATTCAATAATTGCATGTTTCTCAAAATTTAATTTTTATGAAGAATTTTATCAAAATTTTTAATAACAATTGAATTCTTTCGACAAATTTAAAAAAAAGATTGTAAGATATCATTTTATTTAAAATTGTATAAAAAATAATAGAAATTCTGCGAGAAATTTTGTTATTTATGAAACTAATTAATTTCTTGTGAAGAATTTTATTCAAATTTTTTTAAATAATTGAAATCTGACAAAGAATTAAAAAAATTTTTTTTTTTTAATAAATTGAATTCCTGTGAAAATGTTTATTTTTGAAAAAAATTTTATTAAAATTTCTTAAATAATTAAATTGTTTCGAAGAATTTTTATTTTTTACGAAAATAATTGAATTGTTTTGGAAATTTTTACAAACTTTTTTGTCAATAATTGTACTCCTAGGATGAATGTTGTATTTTATGAAAATAATTGTAGTCTATGATTTCTAGCGAAGAATTTTATTAAAATTTTTTTAAATAATTGAATTTCCATAAAAAAATGTATTATCTGTGCAAATAATTGAATTCTTAAGAAAAATTGTATTGAAAATAATTGAATTGTATAGGAAAATTTTATTAAAATTGCAATTTTATTAACTAAATCTTGTAAAGAATGTTGTCAAAATTTTTTAAAATATTAGAACTTTTAAAATAATTTTATTTAAATTTTTCGAAATAATTAAATTTCTTAGAAATATTTTTTTCAATTCTCTCTATTGAAAAATTAGAAATAATTGAATTGGTGCGAAGAAATTTATAAAAAATTGGTAACTAATTAAATTCCTGTTAAATTTTTATTAAAATTTTGTTTAAATAATAGAATTCTTTTGATAAATTTTATTAAATTAGCAGATAAATGAAATTAGCAGATTGAAATTTTGCCAAGAATTTTATTAAAATTTTTCAAAATAATTGAATTTTGGAGAAGAATTTTATATTATCCTTATTAATAAAATCAGATGTCTGTCTGTACATTGCTTAAAACTTCAAAATGTTAACATGATTAGTTATTATGGACATCAGAGATTCCAAAAATGTTCTTAAAAAATTTAATGTATGTATGTATGTATGTATGTATGTATGTATGTATGTATGTTTGTCTGTCACAAAAACTTTGTACCCCAATCACACAAAAACATGTGAATCGATTTAAGTCCAACTTGGTAGGTTATTAGGTATTGACCCAAGGAAGGTTTATAAATTTACAGATTTAAAAAATATTAATTAGAACGGGAGATATTCAATTTTTTCAAAAAATTCAAAAAATCGAAAATTTCAAAATTTTTTATTTTTCATGGATTGCTTTTGAAGTTTATATACTTGAGTATTATATGTTATTTAGTCACATTATAGCATAACTTTGCAAAAAATAAAGTCCTATAACTAATATGTAAGTATAAAAATGTTTTCAAAAAATCGAAAATTTCAAAATTTTACATTTTTTTATGGATTGCTTTTAAACTTTCTATATTTGAGTATTACATGTTATTTGGTCACATTTTAGCATAATTTTTCAAAAAATACTATTCTACAACTAAGATGTAAATATAAAAATATTTTCAAAAACTTGAAAAATGGAAAATTTCCAAATTTCACAATTTTTAATGGATAGCTTTTAAACTTTCTAAAAATGAATATTATATGTTATTTAGTCAGATTTTATCATAATTTTGCAAAAAATACTATCCTACAAGAAATATAAAAAAATTTTCAATATATCAAAAAATCGATACTAATTACTATATGAAGTATAATTCAGTAGTATTTTTGGAGTCTCTGATTAATATTTTGATGTCAAAATAGTGCAATTCAAAATTATTTATCAAATCAATCTAATATTTTCAAGAAGTTCAGAAATATTGAAAATGGAAATTTTTTATGATTAAAATGATTTCGCAGGATGTCAAGAATTGTAAGTCACCTGTGATACAATACAAGCATATTATGCCACTAGGCAAAAACTTACATGTTAAAACGTTTTTTCATTTTAACTCTAGATTTAACTTTAAGAGATGTTTTGAGCAATGTAAAGACAAAAGTTAACACGGTGTCTATTTTTGTTTAACAAAATTCCCTGCTTTGTCCAAACTTTTCACGGTTTATCTCTTTTTTGTCAAATTTAAATTTACTTGATTTTATCTATAAATAAATCTACAAATGGCTATAAAAATTTACTTATTTTATGAAAATACTGTTTCTTAAGTTCATATAAATATAGATTGTATTACTTGCTGTCGTACAGTTTTCTGTTTATACTAATACATTTAACTGGGTATCTACCAAACGGGAAAAACTGTAAAAAGCTGGGAATATGCCGAACCGGGAATTTTCCTATCAAATTAAGAAAAAGTTTCATTATATTAATTCGCTTTTAAAAAATTGCTTTTTACTTCAATTTTTATTGATGTATAATATTTATGAAAACAGACCCGAGTCAAAATTTAAGCCCTACTTTCAGCCTAAAATTTAGGTCTTATGTTAGGTTTTAGCAGTCGTAACGTAGGGTCTACTTGCGATACAATTAGTTCCAATTAGACTCTACTATAACTCCAAAAACTGTATGGAAAATTTAATTTTTTTAATACATTAATTAAAGTACTACAAATTGATAAATATTGTTCTCTGCATTTGAATTGGTTAAAATAACTAATTTGATAACAAAAAGTCAATCACTGATTCAAATAGTAATATTTTCCTACTAAAATAGCTATAATGGTAACTAATTATTATTTTTTTCCGGTCAAATTAAATTCCCTAGCTATTTCCTGATTTTCCAGATTGGTAGAAACTTAAATGTATTGGTAGAAACTAAAACCCGTCGAAGACGGGTACGACAGCTAGTTTATAAATATAATTGAAGTTTTGACGAGGATTTTAAAACATTTTTCAACATTTAATTGAATTTATGCGAAGATGAAGTTTATCAGTTTTGAAAATAATTGAATTTCTGTAATCAGTTGTTCTTAAAATTTCTATTTAAATTCAAACATAAAAGACAAAAATTCAAAATTTTCTTATAAATTCTAAAAATACCATTCAGATTCTTTGTATGTATAACAATAACTAACTAACGATTTTATTACTGACTAAAAATTTATTGACATTTAAAAAATTCCTGATTGATTATTGTTAATTTTTACCACTAATTATTAATAAATTACGACTAATTTATAAAGATTACCTGCGACTTTTTACATACAAATGTGTTAGAAGATGATTTTTATTTTTCTGTCTGACAGTATAGTTAACTTTTACTACTGGATTACCCAATTACGTATAATTTCAAGATTGTCTGACCAAAACAGACTTATTCTATACTGATTACAAAATGATGAATAATTTTAAGATTGTCCTTCCTGTCTGACTATACTGTTCAGTTTTACTATTTATTTTACTAATTATAAATTGTTAATAATTCACTGTCTGACTAAATAAAGACTTTTACTACTCTGAATACTATTATTTTTTTTGTATTTTTTAGTTGAACTACTGTAAAATTTTATCAGTAATTACAAAATATTGTTAAATCAAAATAATTTAGATTCCCAAAGAAAAAAAAGAACAATAGGAAAGAAGAGGAAGTTTTGAATTTTTTATTAAATCAAAACAAGAGGTCATTAATTATAAGAACCAATTTCAAAGCCACGAAAATAGAGAAAAAAATTTCCTAAAGAAATATAAGTAAGTTTGAGTACACATACATGGCCCCCTAAATTGAAATTTGATTGAGCAAGGAAAAAAATAATCTCCCAAGTCATCGAATGACTGGAGGAAAGAAAGAACAACTCATTTCCCATATAATGAGAGGATGATGTTTACGATATATCAGCAGTGGTCCCTTATACATATCGTTTGATTAGAACATCCTAACATGTATATATACATGAAATCTTCTTAAGGGGTGGAGCCTGAAAATTCAGGGTGTGGTCCCCCCGAAGAAACCGAAGGGTAGTTAGAAAACGATGGTAGAGGGCCATACAGTACGACGAGGGGGAGGGCAGGAGGGGGTTGAAAATGATTTAGGTTGGGTTCTTCGTATGCCCGCTGACTGTAGAAAGCGATGGCAAAGAGAGTTTTGTGGTCGAGGGTCTGGTTTCAATATTAGCCAGCTGGCGCCTCACACGCGGATCATCAGCGCACGAAAATCACCCGAGTTTATGTCCTCTCCTGGACCTATATTGATTGTAAAAAAAGGCATGGATGAGCTTAACGACTTCGTAGAATTTTTCATTGTTATCGTTCTTTTTTTCTCTCTTCTTTTTGTGTCATATATATATACTCGAAAACAATCGCGTCTTTTATATGGCGTTTGCTACCAATAAACCGCGGCAACT